AGGTCACATATTGTTGCCACTGGTTGCACCTTTGATCCACTTAAATCCAACAGCGGTCCAACATAACAAAGTAGTAGACAAGTTTGTGAAGAAGGATTCTTATCATGTTCTGAGGCCAAATGGTTAGTGGTGGTGGAGTGGTTAATGTTCTTTTCTTACAGCAAAAAAAGCATCAGTTTGATCTCTGGTGGAAAATTATAATGTTTCTGTGTGAGTTGGAATGTTCTGAGGGTCACATTAATGACAGTAAATAATTAAACTCCAGTCACTCTTATACCATACAGAAGTGGCTACTACAAAATTAAAGTAAAGCTGGCTTTCACTATTAATGATACAGTTGTGTTTTATGTTTCTTTGTAAATTTTATAATATTTTCTAAATCCTACAGGTTTATCGCTGGAGTGTTACGTGTGCAGCTCTTCTACCACCAATGAACAATGTAACAGCAACACTGCAGAATGTGAAACACCTTTGGACACGTGCATGACATCAATCGACATTTTAGGTAACAGAGGCCACACGATTAAACACAAGTCCTTCAGCCAACACTTTTTTTATAGTATGGACATGTTTTACTGTAAGATTTAATCAACTAATGTTTTGGGAAAAAATAAATCCATGTACCCCCTGCGATGTCCACATCTACCACTAGAGGTTACAGTACCCCCCGCCGGGAAAAAGTTGAATCTGAGAAACGTTAAATAAAACATGAATAAATAGACCTCTGGGTAAAGAACTTATATTGTAATTAAAAAATATTTTAAAACATCAAGGAATTTAACTAAACTCACCCTTACCTTGTGTGTCTCTGTCGCCAGGTATAGCCAAGGCCATAGTGAAACAATGTGCCAGTCGGGCCACATGTCAAGGAGCCGCTTCGACAGCCTCTCTTGACGAGAACGGGAACGGAAACATCGTCAACTGTTGCAACGGCTACAACCTGTGTAACTTCAGTGGAGCGGAGTCCGTTCGTTTCCACGTTTCACTCCTGCTTCTCACTCTGGCCGTTGTTCGACTGTTGTCACTGTGAGATCAGTGTAGCTCAGTTAGTCTGATGCTCTGTGGAGGGGAGACTGGGAACTTTGATAGGAAACGCTTGATTAGTGAGTAATGCAATATTTAAATAAAAATATTAAAATAAATTAACATGTATTTAAAGTTATGCCATAAATGCACTGATCCTCTGTTAAAGTCCGCCCTGTAACTGTATATTATGATGTTATGTAGGACATTTTTATAAATGTGACCATTGTTTACAGTAGCCTTTTTAAAATCAATTTGTGGACAAAATATGACAAAAATAATGTCAATGATAAGAAAGCTAACAAAGTTAGGTTGAAGATAATATAAGTCTACACATTTTACTGAGCTAACCTAGAAAAAGGTTCGACGCTGGCTATTAAAGTAAGAGGTGGGTTATAGGTAGGTTAGCTTAGTGCAGCCACAATTAGCCATTTTAGGCTAATTGTTTAGCCGTAAATAAACCATAATATAGGCTAAAATCAACAGAAATGAAATGTTAACCTAAAAGATTAATAAAATTAAAAAAGACCCAATGATGTTAGGCATATTTGATGAAAGAAATTTCATTTCATTTCATTCAAAAGGCTAATTCTTTCCCCTGCCTATATACCTGATGCTGAAATTGTTGAGATGAAAGTTGAAGCTCTGCAGCTGCTGTAAATATTCCATAAAAATAAAAATGTCCAACCCTGAAACTTGCACTTTCACAAAATATAGATTCCAGACTATTTTTTTATTTTATCATTATTTTTATTTTATTATTTTTTCTCCTATTTAACAAGATGGTAGACTGAGCCCAGCAGATAAAATAAAAACCAGTGTTTACAAGTACGATTTCTGTACAATTCACCAGTGATACAAGCCATTATAGCTTACAATATACCAACATGAGCAGATCTACACAACATAAAATAGATTGTTCTTTGTAATTATGATTTTTTTTGTGTATATCTTTTTTTTTTTTTTTTTACCAGGTATGATTCAGATTTTGCCTCATTAACTGCTGGCACGGCATATTCAAACCTAGGTGTACAGGGGGGAAATGTTGCTTGCTGTGCAAATGCACATTTGCACATGATTTGATACATCAGTCAAATGTCATTTACCGTGTGGAGGCAGTATCAACAAAGATGTGTGACCTGCTGTAGATTCAGTTGAGTGTTTTGTTCACCTGGAGATGGACATTAGAGGGGATAAATATATAGATTTTTAAATTGTTACAAAGGCTTCCAGTTGTGAGGTGTGCATGTTTCCCTGGGACACACACATTGTGACAATGTATGTGTGTGTGTGTGTGTGTGTAAGGGGGCTGTTTCTAATGTGATATGACACATACACTCTCCTTAGAGAAATACAGTGGATAAAAGACACTGTTGGTTAAAAAGCCAGGTTTGTCACTGTCAAACATTGACACCAAGGGATTTATTTCTTTATTTTTACATCTATATTTTTGATCTACAATCTGTACATTTGATAATAAAACCAACCATATCGTTTCAGGGGGGATTAAAATGTGAGACAAGTGCCAAAACCTATTTAAACTTGTGATTTGACAGTTTGAACAACAAACTATTCACCTATAAACCATCCCAAAAATACGACCAGCTGTTATAGACGGGAATTTCTGAGCCGCACTTCACAGCAGAAGTCACAGTATGCAAATATGTCAAATAAACCGTGAAGAAATCAGAAGGTTCTTTTAACTCAGGAGAAGGTAATGAAATCATTTCCAATGTGTTAAAATAACATTTGACATTTAAATACAGTTATCCTGGAGTGAAGACAATGAAAAGAAATATGGGAGGAAAACTGCATAAAAAGAGCTCTAGCACAAGATTAAAAGAACTGCCTGAAATTCTAGTTGGTACCTGTTGTTCCCTACGTGTCAAAAATATTCATTTGTCTGGAGTATGAAAAAGCATTGCAAAAATATTTTTCTTTCCAGTCGGCAAGAATCTTCAAAGCTCGGCTAAACTTAGCAAAAGAGCACTCTTTCTCCCAGAAGCATGTGTACGATACGGTCTGATTACAGTGTGGCTGCTGATTTTCTTTTTACCATAATCCTCAGTCAAGGTTGGCACTAAAAGAACATTACATATATAGAAAAGAACTGTGAAGCGTGGTGGTGTTTATCCTGTTTTGGGACTGTTTTCTTCCTGGCTTTTTTTACTTAAAAAACAAAAAACAGGAACCCAAAGGAAGTATTTGGTAATTATTAATAAATGACTTTTTTTGTCAATTTTTGGATTGTTTTAAATTGAAATGTACACATTGTAGTTTTGATTTTTTTTGTTTAAGATATACCCATGTTCTTAAATTAATTATGTTGTCGTCACTGTTAACTTTCAAAAGCCTGGCGTTCTAACAGCTCAAATCCAAAGTACTTATAATAACAGATGCCTCAGACAACTTCATCACCATTTCTGTCTCTTTGTGAGCATCACAAAAGTCAATGCTGGGTTGTTTTTTTTTTCTGATTCCATACGTAGATCAAGAAGATCTTAGCTGCTGTAAACAAGAGAAAAACCGTGAAGCCAGCGGCAGGAAAAGACAGACTGAACCGACTGTGTTCAGGAAGCGTGACTCTTCACATTTGAAGGAAAACTGTTCAGACACTGAGGAAGACTGCAGAATGGAGAGGAAATGTGAAAATGAGGAGTCAAGGAAGTAGAGAAAAAAGAGAAGGAGAGTGACTCCTCTCAGTGTCACTGCCCTCCCTGCCCTTCCCTCTGTCTCCTCCTCGCCAAGTTTTGAGTCTATAAATAAAAGCTGGTGAGACAGAGGGACGACAGGAATGGACGGAGGAAAGAAAAAGGGAGAAGAGAGATCTGATCATCCAGACCAAAAAAAAAACACCACTGTCTATGCTGTGACTGAGTTTTTCTTGTTGGAGCATCCTCCAAACAAAAGCACCGTGCAGAACCAAAGCTGAACAGAAGACTGGTTCCGTCCTCCCATTGACGAGCACCCGAGGTGATGTGGAGGTATTTCAGTGGAGAAGGAAGCTCACAGCCAGAAGTTATCTCACACCTGCTGACGTCCAAGTCCACTCACCACTGTGGAGTTGCTGCAGAGTAAAGGTTCTGATGGCTTTTATTAACAGATCCCGACCCACACATCCATGATGCTGCTCCTGTCACAGGGTTGAAGATGGTGAAGCTGGAGAAACAGGCTCAGGTATAAATATTCACCAGAATGTTCCTCTCACTGAGACTCCGGTCCACAGAGAGAAAAGCTGCCTGATTCAGGTAGCGTTTCTACTACGGACCTGTTAAGGTCACAGTGGTGGGGGGTTTGAATCCCAGGTAAAGTGACTTTGCTCGGCTTATGCAGGATTCAGCGCTAGAAGACCAGAACCAGCAGAGTTTACTCTCGTTCAGTTCCCACTCATCTGGAGTCACGGTGGACATCACTCCTCCAGGAGTCTCTTTTATTCTGTGCTGCCAACAGAAACTGTGACCGTGCTTAAAAAAACAAACAACAACAAAAAAAAAGAACCAAAAAACGAAAGCTGACCACCTCCTGTTGGTCAGCTCTGCAGCTAGTGTGGGCGGGACTGAGCCATCATCTTAAGCCGTGATTGGTCGATGACATCTAGCAGGTTTTTGGCATCGACTGCAAGAGCGTGAGCTGCTGTCAACATCTGTTTCTTATAGTCCTGCTGCAGACTGGGACAAAGAAAAATTTACAAATAAAAAAATAAAAATAATACAATACATTTTGGTATGCATGGTACAATTATTTCATTATTAAGTATGAGGTGTGTACAGTTACCTGGTCATCACATACTGCTGGGCTAACTTCATTTTCCCAATCAACTCTGCCAGGTCAGAGTTCAATAGTTTCTGTGCCATCTCAATCTGTGACAGACGGCAGGAGCATCGATTATGAGGCAGAAGGGAAATAGAATCAAACCAGCACAAATACTAGTACAAGTACAGTACAACATGTGTCATTGTACGTGTGGGTGTGCGTGTTGTTTTTGTACCTCTCTGTGTGTGCTGGCTGGAAGCTGTGGTAATGTCTCATCGACTGTGGCCAGTAGTGTCCTCAGTGCCAGGCCCACATCCTGGAAAATACACAAAACACTTGGTTGAAAAAACAGAACGAAATACAGCAAAAAAAAAACCCAAAAAAAACCCTGTCTTTCACTAGCTGGATTTTTTTCATTTTCCTTTTTTGCTGTGGAGAAACACTTTATATGAAACACTTTACCTTCACCATGGGAACATACTCCTCGGGAGGTGCTGGCTGAATCTTGCTGGACATCTCGATCACAGCTTTGACCAAGCCTGTCACGTTTTCGTACACTTTGTCGTTGGAGCGGTCCAGGTTGGCTGTGGGGGGCGGACTTATCTCCTGAGGCTGTAGCTGCGGATGAGAGGAAAACAGTAACAAGTCACTGAGAGCTGAAGTTTAACAAGGATCAACAGATTGGTTTGGAGGAACCAACAACCAGACACAAACTAGTCGAGACAATGAAACCAACATTTTAAATTGCTAAGACCCAAGTCCCAGATGAAAAATGGTGGATTAATGAATAAATGGATGGAGAGAATGTGTTAGTAGGTTACTGTGACCTATGACATGATGTTACTTTGAAAACAATTCTGTGGATTTCCTGTTTGTTTTCAACTGCCTAATCATTACTAGGTTCACAAAGGGGAAGGGTCACAATTAAAGATGGAGAACCAATCACACACATTATACCTCTGTATGTTTTGGGACTGTGAGAGAAATCAGACTCACGCCTGGGGTACATGCAAACTGCTCTTTTTGCTGTAAGGCAAGAGGACGAACCACTTCTATATAGTTTGTCATTTATTGAAAGATTGAAGCTACGTTAAGCTGGGGTCAATAAAGCTGATTCTTATGATGTGTGGCCCTGTGCGAGTATCAGATCGGACCTAAAGTTATTCTGTACTGTGGCCACTAGATGGAGGTACCACACAAGGTAGCACGGAGAGTAACTGCGACAAACGTCATTTAAAATAAAGCAATCCTACAAAGAGCAGAGAAAACTTTGAACTGTTTCGTTAAATAAAATGATCTGGTTTTTCTTTTTATATAAAAAAACAAACAAAACAAAATCTGACATTACTACAAGTTTGCACACTACCTACACCAGCATCGATTAACTGTGGCACCATTTTTTACGAGCAAGACAAAGAGAAGCTGTCCATTCCCACTGAACACAACTAAACTCTGTATAAAAATTTAAGGCTATGGAAAAATGTAATTTATTAAAAAAAACAAGATTATATAAATAGTTGATATAAATATACACAAGCTTCAAAACCTACCTTAGATTAGTATTTCATTTAGTAAAAAAATACTGTGGGTTTGGTTACATTATCCTTAATGTCACAGGTTGACAGATAGTTAGTTTTAATAAAACAGACCCAAAGGTTTAGAAATGGACGAAGAGTTTTGACACGAGAACAAACCTGACTACACAACAGCTGCAGAGATGACATGTTTGTTTGAACAGCATTTACACGTTTACTGGACTGAGAGGAAAAAGAACCAAAGGACTCAATGTGTGACCATCTAGGAGACAAGACGCACAGTAAACACACACAGACAGTGTGCTGCTTACCCGCCAGGGCTAGGGGTCAACATTAAGGCAGAGGGCAGGAAGAGGAGGAGCAGGGAGAAGAAGAAGAAGAGGGGGAGATAAAGGAGATAAAATGATAACATTAATGCTCTCGGTCCTGAACACATGGAAGGTGCGTACAGCATGTGTGTATACTTTCTAACTGGTGTCTGTGCAAATCCATATGTGAGTTATCTGCATGCTAAAAAAATCCCA